AAATATTTAAATATTTAAATATTTAAATATTTAAATATTTTTATTAAATGTTTTGATCTTTAAAAACAATAGGAAAGACACAGCAAAAAATATACAATAAGACAAAACAAAACACAGAACATCCATAAACAATATACAGTAATTTTACAGCTTTCTATATCGGCTTTCCTTCTTAGCGTTTATAATTCTCCCTTCTGCCTTCTCACTATAACCTTGTCCTATAACGTAACAAACATAATATTAACACAGTCATCCAACAGTCAAAATATTGTAACAAGTACGTATGGATATCACCAAAGTGCATAGAAATTAAATTGAGTTTCTATAAAGTATGGCATAAAATGTACAAGTGTCTAGAAAACAGAAGCCAAGATAGAAAATAGAGAATACAAATATTTGGCTGTATAGATAATGAATACTATTATAAGTGTTAATATTATGTTTGTTACGTTATAGGACAAGGTTATAGTGAGAGGAAGGCAATGCAGTCCCCTTTGGGGAAAAGGGCGGCATATAAATGTAATAAAATCCAATGCAGAAGGGAGAATTATAAAAGCTAAGAAGGAAAGCCGATATAGAAAGCTGTAAAATTACTGTATATTGTTATGAATGTTCTGTGTTTTGTTTTGTCTTATTGTGTTTTTTTTCTTTGCTGTGTCTTTCCTATTGTTTTTAAAGATCAAAATATTTAATAAAAATTAAAAAAAAATTAAAAAAATACACACACACAAAACCTAGACGTACACCACATTTACACAATACAATACAAACAGGAGCTTCCTGTTCTGTCTAATAGCAATCGATATCGCTCACCTTATATTGTTTCCCCTTCTATTATATTTCATTTGCATTTCACCATTCTTAATCCTCTTATCTTACTTCTCTGTCTGCTATATTGGCTAATTACCTCTAGTAAGTTTAAACCACTTAGATCAGTGTTTCTCAACCTTGGAGACTTTAAGTCCTGTGGACTTCAACTCCCAGAATCCCCCAGCCAGCACAGGACTTAAAGTCGCCAAGGTTGAGAAACACTGACTTAGATACATATATATGTGTTAATTCTCCTTAACTTCTATTTTTGGGCTTTGTTGTCTTCCTTCATTGATCCTTGTTTCTTTCCTCCATCCACCTACACCATTTATCCCATATCTGGTAGTATATCTGTTTCTTCTTTTCCCTGGATTTCTTTTGTTAGTTTGTCCATTTCAGCACAGTCCATAACGTTTCTTATTATTTCATCTTGGAATTAATTTGTTTTTCTCTTAGTGGCAGCCGCAAAAAGAGGGCAGGCCCAGCAACGCTACGGCTGGCAAGAGTGTGCCAGAAACAGAGACAGAACTTCTGGCCCTCTCTGGATCAGCTGAGCCACAGGCCAAGGTTAAAGGGCCTCCTGCACTTCCAAAATAATAAGACCTCCCGAAAATAAGGCCAAGCGCTTATTTCAGTGGTCAAAAGAAAATAAGACCTTGTCTTATTTTGGGGGAAACACGGTACCTTGTCCTAACAAGCCAACTTTAAGGGTGAGAGGAGTAGAATTGGGGTGCCCCATGATACCCTTGGCATTGCGCGACAGGACTTCACTTTTGTAAATAAAACATTAATCCTGTACATTTTTAACCCTGTACATTTTTAATCTTGTAAATAATCCTGGAAAAATATTGTTTAATTTTACACACACACACACACACACACACACACACACACACNAATAGAATAGAATAATAGAATAGAATAATAGAATAGAAGAGACAAGAATAATAGAAGAGAAGAGAATAATAGAAGAGAAGAGAAGAGAATAAAATAATAGAGTAGAATAGAAGAAAATAGAATAGAATAGTAGAATAACTGGGCAACTGTTTTCTCTTGATATTCTTGATGTGGAAAATAGATGCAGAATATCTCAGACAGGGAAGTTTGCTTCTTTTTGCAAACTTAACTGTTGTTAGCTTTAAAAAAAGATGTGCAAAAGCATCTGTTGCCCTCCTTTTCATGTTTTTGCTTGGCTGTTTGCAAGTGTGATCATGGTGTGGGGTTTGTGAAATGGAGGCTGGAAAATAAATTAGGTAGCATCCCTGGGTTTAGTTTCCAAGCAACTTTCTTTTTGCGCTCGCTTCGAGTAAACAACGATGCTAGTGCAAACAAATGAGATAACTCTGATGTTCAGAGATTTGGAAAAGTAAATACGGATTTGGTAAAACCTGAGATACAGGAAGTCCTCATCTTACAACCATTCATGTGGCCATTTGAAGTTACACCATTGTAGCATTCCCCAGGGTCACATGATAAAAATTCAGACGCTTGGCAACTGACTCATATGTACGACGGTTGCCCAGGAGTTGCGTGATCCCCTTTTACGACCTTCTGACAAGCAACCTCAGTGAGGATTCACTTGGTTTGGTTTGGTTTATTGGATTTATATGCTGCCCTTCTCCCAAGGACTCAACCGTGTGACTGACTTAATAACTGCAGTGATTCACTTAACAACTGTGGCAAGAAAAGTGGGGGAGGGAAACCCACTAAACAGCTGTCTTGGTTAACAACAAAAATGTTTGGCTAACATATTAGATAGGTTAACATAATAAAGGATAAAGAAGATGCAGAATATTTTTCAATTTGGGATTTGTTTTATCAATGGTTAGATAATAAAAATAGAAATTAGAAGAATACTATTGTATAAGAGCAAAGGATATTGTTATTACTAGTATCATGCATATGGAAAAATGACGCAGACTATATACGGTTTATTAAATGCCTACCTATTTTAAAGAAAAATGTGTAAATAAAAATACTTAAAAAAAGGCTGGGCTCAATTGTCATAAGTTGAGGATTACCCTGTTTTCCCTGAAAAATAAGACCTCCCTGGATAATAAGCCCAATCGGGCTTTTGAGCACATACGCTAAAATAAGGCCTCCCCTGAAAATAAGCCCTTGCCTAAAATATTTAAACGCCTGTGCAGGCAGTCCCCGCCAT